AAGACAGCAGGGAAGCTATGCAGAATCTCCTCCCGAGTCACCCACGTTATGGGATATACCCGTCATCCGCGGATTACAAGCAAAAATATTTTTTTACGGCAATGATGTATCAGCATGGATGCTCATACGTTCCCATATGTGACCTTACGGTTGACTTCACATACGATAAAAATTGCTTGGCAAAATGTCAACTGGTTAACGAGTTATCGCATTTTGGCCACTTCCGAACTCAAATAGCGGCTGTGTGCGCTGGCCCAGATGTTCCCCGTGGCCTCTGTCTGGCTAGCGATCAGACGTGCTGGATGGCTGTGATCACCACAGCTGGTGTGCTCCGGGAAGTAATACGCCGGGGTCTGGTCTGTTGACTTCTTGCTGGTCAGATGATAGGCGGTATGACGTGAAGGCGATGTCTGCATTTTTCATTGGTCTTTATTGTCCATCTTCTTTCCCTGTCTCCAAAGTCCTAAAAGTATGTTCCTAGATCCACTAGCCTGAGTCTCAATGCCAACAGCCGAGTGCTTCGACTCCTTTGTATTCGACAACTTTGCATGACTATAATGAGGTCCCTCGTGTCAGTTGTGTGACATCATCGGCATCCTGCAAACCATAACCTCTTCATTAAGCTTGAGATGACAGTCTCAGCTTCCGATACAGTGCAAGTCCAGCAATCGAAGCATACATGTGGCTCGATTTGTTCCATAGAGAATAGCTGCCTGTGCAACCACAACTGGACAATGTATGTAACTGCTATCCTGGCTGACGCTTGCATGAGCGACGAGCGTCCAGACATTCTTAGATCATCAACCGATCAGCCTCACGTTGTAAAAACGAGCATGATTGCAAAAAGAAAACCAAGGACTCGTGCAACTCATGCTGAGCTTACAATATTTTCTGATACGTTTGCCAAGTCCCGGACGGAAAAGGCAGGGCTGCATTCCAGCGGCAGGGACACGCTGCCGCACTGTCGCACTGTCGCACTGTGGCACTGTCGCACTGTGGCACTGTCGCCTGATGTCACCGTCGCTCTGTCGCCGACGGCAAGTCCGTGCCGGCGCGTGCCGTCAGACCTTTCCCGGTAGCTGCCCGTGACGGGTGTGGCTGCTGGTAAAATGGGGGCTGCTGTTGGCTGCCTGTCGCAGTGTTCTCTAGCTACACCGAGTCGCTACGGGGCACCCCTCCCTTAGCAGACCACAGGCCAGACCAGTTTGTTGAAATTCCGCTGATCGCAAATGATGATGGCATCGGCATGTAATCGTTGAAAACATGGAAGGTACCGATATTCGTGACTGGATCTTGTTGGAATTAGCGTTGAACTGATGTTTGTTCGACTAAGATTGGCCCTTCAGTCTGTAGCAGACGGTGTTTGGGTGGCATATTTCGTGCATCGTATAAATTCTCCCATCGTTGATGACACGTCTGACCAGTATAAAACATCTCAGGTATTACGACGATAACTACTCGAAATGTAAAAGTATTTACCTTCCCAAAATGTATGATGCTTGTTTAGGCAGTTGTCTAATGCGGATTACATGGAGAGATTGCGGAAACAGCGTGATGGAAGATACCAACACTGGAATAACGTCTTCCGATTCGACAACATATGTGACAGCGGTAATAGGCTGCAACGGACTGGCCTGGGTAACGGGAGGAAGACATTTGGTCGCTGGATGGGCTAGGTAGTAGGCCACTGCGCCGCTATAACGGCGTGCAGGTAGGTACTGACTAGAGAGTCTCCGAGTGCGTGGGCTGGGTGCGGATGGTTGGACACCGTCCATTACAACTCTCACGGGTCGGCCCGATGACTCATGAGCAGAGCAGCTGCATCCCGCCGCCATATTGGTGTGCTGCTGCCTAGACCGCTGGAACCATCCCTGTTGTCACACGCTTTCTCGGGTAGTCTGCACCCCTGTCCCAGCGCTCCTCCTCCCAGCATCAAATCTGCATGGTGACCGGGCGGAGGTCGCCGCCTCCCGTGTTTGCGTGTTTCCGCCTGATGGGCTGCTATCGATCGCCCATCGAGCGTGTCTGACGCCGTGTGAAGCGCAGAGTGGTGGTTCCGTGAGCGGAACGGAATTAGCCTCTGACTGCCCGCGACGCCCATCTTCCGGCTGCCGCGACTGCAGCGCGGTGGTGCCAAGCCCGCTCATATCCAAAACGTATTGAGCTCGCCCGTCTGTCCGACAGACATCTCTTCCCAGCTGACCGACCAGTATCGTTTCCTCTTACCGGTCCTTTACTCTGACGACCTCACTGTGTCCTTTCTGAATTCTAAGCGCCTATCCAACAGGGTCTTACCCCTCAGCTGGCCGAAGCGCTCCAACCTGACTAGCTGAATCCCCGTACTACTGTTAACGCCAGACCCCTTGAGACCCTAATTTTTCGCGATTACTTTTAAATGCGTGAAGGAATTTCAACCAAGCTCAGGACATGGCCGTTTCAAGACAGGCCGAAACTTTTACAATTTAGATATTTTATCGCCATTTCAATATTTCAGGCACTTGTCATTGACTCGTAATGTTAAATTTCGAGCAAGATTTTCATCCGGTGTGTAGAGGCTATCACCAGTCAGTCTGTGATACGTTATGACGTCACAGCTAAGCCCCGCCTCTGTGGTCTTGGCCTGCGGCGGTTTCGGGCCGGCGCGCGGTCACTCTCGCTGTGGCGGGGAGCGGGGACGGGCGACGGTCGAGCGGTGCCGAAAGCCGGCGGAGTTGTGCGTAGCGTCTTGGCTGACAGTGCCCAGAGAGCGACATGATGACTAAGGAGTCATAAATGCTCAATGCGCATTGCTTCTACAATGCTGATATGTTCGCTGATATATTTTTTTTTATAAGCTGCATATGACGGGCAGATGGCATATAACTGACATAAGGTTAGGAAATATTCACCTGTATTTAAAGCCTATGGCGTTGCAGATAATGCGATAATGGGATGTCGGATGTCACCAAGTAGCTGCCGATTTGTACATCGCTATGCAACCATCGAACAACGCAATAATAAGTTAATTGCCTGAGCTTCACATCATACGGCTCGCTCGTATTTCAAACAGATACCCTACATCGAAAATCGTATTTGTTAGGAATCGTTAACGTTTGTTCGAAGCACGACTGAATAGTAGGTTGAGGAGTGATGGTCCTCTTGGTCCTATATACAAGAGTCAACAAGAGCCTAACATTTACTTGACCGTCTGCTGCAATTGACTCATAGCACGTGAAGCGTCAGCGAAATTCATAGTCCTTCACAGATGGCAGGGGTGTCGTTTGTACAGAGGTCGCTGATGGGCACGGGTCAATGCCGCAGTCGTGGGCGGAGCCTAATGTCATATGACGTAGAAAGCCTCTATCCAGGATGGAAAAACAGTTAACATTACGAGTCAATGACAAGTGCCTGAAATATTGAAATGGCGATAAAATATCTAAATTGTAAAAGTTTCGGCCTGTCTTGAAACGGCCAAGTCCTGAGCTTGGTTGAAATTCCTCCACGCATTTAAAAATAATCGCGAAAAATTAGGGTCTCAAGGGATCTGGCGTTAACAGTAGATTCCGGCGACGACTGGCTGGAAGCCCTGCTCCCTACGGTCGGAATATATTGAGCCCCGGAAATCTGGGATCACCAGCGCGAGCCGCCGAATCTGCCGGCTTCGTGCGGCCATTAACATCACAGGCGCGCAAACTTAGCCAATTATCCGTGTCGCGGTTTCAGCGGGAGGGTTTTTGCGCTGCTTTCTGGGCTACGTGCCAGGTTAATTGAGTGTTTTACTTATGCCCCGCTGTTTTTACTGAGGGCTAAGTTTCGCCGCTCTGACGGCGTCTATAGCTGCAGAAATGGCGCAGCGATCCAGGCTGGATCTGGATATTGTAGGCCATATTGTGATTCTCAGTACATAGTGGGAATCATATTGTTAATTCAAAGGGCCTGACTCGAAGTTTCTGTCATCATGTCCGCTTCTCTTCAAAAATTATACTCAAGGAGCGATTTATACTTCCGACAGCTAATGCGCTTCCTAATGCCTAAATAACCGAACATCGGCATACCACACAGTCTTTCGCCAAATGATTTGGCGCTTGGAGGGAGGGGAGGCGCAGTGCAGCAGTCCAGCATATGTCACCGCTGCAAACACGTGTCGAAACAGACAACTCAGGACATTAAACATGCGGGCCGAAATCAAAGATGCAGGCGGATGGGCGCGGCGCCGTCGCAGACACTATTGACCTGCATGGCGTAAGGAGCGAGTCTGTCTTGCCGACGAGTAGGTTATATGGTGAGACGCCGCGCGCCGCGAACCCCGTCGGTGGGAGCGCGCTGTCTCGTATTTCGGGCTCGGATGTCTTGCTGGCTGATCACAGACTGCCGCTGGGTTGCTGGGCTAGCTGAACCGACGAGCGGCCACGTCGGCACGAGCCGTCTCACTCACAGCTCAGGTGCAGATCAGTTTGAACTGATTGAGACAATGCCGCTCAGTCAGTCGGCACGGTGCAGGTCGGATAGACGAGATATTGCAGTTCGATCTGGATAGGAAGTGCAGAGCTTTGCAGGGCCAGCTCGCCCGGAACGTGCCAACAAAAGATTTTCTTTTCCTTTTCAAAAATATATTTTTAATTCTCTTATATAGAACAATTTCTTTGCTGCTCGTATGTTTTAATTTGTATGAAAATCTCCAAATTCTTGCACGCTTTAGCTGCATTTAGAAGTCCGGTAGTGCATGCAATGCATCATATATTTTGTAGCTCCCTCTTGCTTTAGGTCAGCTACGAAAATGTTTTGAAAATCGCGCTTATACCATGCCTAATCTGCTCGTGTGTAGCTCGCTGCCCTCCTCTCTGTAGCTGTGACGATGTCGCCGACTGTTCTGACCTGGGAGTGCCTGCGGCCGACGGTGGTCCCCTCGGTCCGCACACCCTAATTACGGCAGCACTCGGCTCCCTCCCGGCTGACATGCCGTCACCCCTAATAGCAGGCAGCGCCGCCCGGCCGTCCACCGTATTTGCCCAGCGCACACGCCCAATGGACCGCGATTCGGCGACGGCGGCGGCGGCGCGCGGCGACGACCGGCGCGGTGCTCGGCAGTGCGGACCGGTCTGCCGGGCGGAGCGGAGCGAGGTGAGGTGCTCTGTGGCGAGCAGTGGCGGACGAGCGAGACTGGCGCTGAACGAGTGTAGGAGGTGTTGGTCGTGTGACGGTGCCGCAAGAGTACTACGACGGTAGAATAGAAGAAGAGGAGGTGTCGGAATAGGGGTAGCACTCAAGTGACAGGCACTTGTCAAAGGAGTGTCCGGACAACTGTCAGGAGATTATTCCGACAACTGTCAGGACTGTGTGGACAACTGTCAGAAGCTTATTCAGACAGTTGTCAGTAGTGTGTGAACAGCTGTCAGAAAGGTGCCCGGACATTATCTGAAGAATATCTAGACGGCTGTTTGAGGAGTGTTCTGCCGTGAGGGCGGGGGTCATACGTGCCGCGGCTGCGGGCGCCGCTGCAGCCCAGTGAGTGGTTTGAGCTGGTGGCGCGCGACGCTCCCCGTGTCCGGGTGAGGTGTACCGAGTGGCCGATGGCCATGTGACGGACCAGGCGGTGCCATGGCCGCCAGGACGCGCCTGTCTCTGGCGCTGCTCGTGACAGTCTCCACGGTACTCTCAGCAGTATCGGCCAACGTCTTCGGCGGAGTTCCCGTGTTCGACGAGCATGGTGAGAACCGCTGACCGGCAGCACAGCCCGGGCAGCTACCTCAGCGACTTCCCTCTGTCCCGTGGGTGTCCGCCATCGACAATAATGTCGAAATTTTGTCATTCTTTTTATATTTAAGTTCGATATCGAATTTTGCGCGCGGGGAAGGCAAAGAGTTGGACGAATTTAGTCAACTCTAGGTATGTAAGAAACCACCGACCATCTGAAGTTTTTTTTTTACGCCAGAGGTTTCACAATCCTGCTGAATATTGATAAACATTGGACACATAAACGTGCAATTGAGTAAGTTTTGAACAATTCACTAATTCAGTGCGGATCCAAACCAGTGCAGTCCAGTGCAGTCCAAACCGAACACTGCCCGGTTTGAACACTCCATCAATAAGTTTTGAACAACTTAAAACATATTTTACAGATGGCACAAGCCATCTGTTAGATCCTGTCACCAGTCAATATTGGAATTTAGGACAGATAGTCGTCTATATACCGAATCATTTAATTGTTTATGGTCTACACATGTGGGAATCCACATTTTGCAGCAGTTGTGGAAAGCTGCCTGTGACAGCGAATATGTGAACTGTGAACTCCGCTCCAGAACGTCGACTCAGCGTATTCGCAGCGTTTTTGTGGATTACCGGTCTGGTGGACTCTTCTGGGGGCCCTGTTCGGTGGACCCTTCTGATGGGTATGGTTGTCGTCCGACACTGGTATTGGCTGGTCTGGAGTTTGATGGTCGGTTTGGTCTTTGGTAGCTACTAGCTTCAGAGCCTGTAGCACATGCATTGCTAAGCACACATGTATAACAAGTACCCATGTAGTCCTTTCGTAGTGGACCGGACTGAGCTACAACCGATGTCATGTCATGACCCATGACACGATCTACTAACTATGGATCACGCTCAAATAATTAAACGCTCTTATTTGGAACGAGGAAGTAATAATTCATCACTCTCTTTCTCACTCACTACGGACGCTTCCTGACATAAACTAATTTGTTTTCCGTTTTGCCTACCATGAAAAATGTTCAACCTCATTAGTCAGACCGAGGCCTCTAAGAAGAACGTTTCCATATCGGCGTCATTTACAGCGCTGTAGATTTATGCATATCTGCTCCGATTGAGACGCTCTCCCATTTCATCCATCACGGTGGTGAAGTCTTCGAGCCGGCTGGGTCTGTTGTTGAAGCCTCTGACAGGCTCCCCGCTGGCTTTCAGGGCTGGCCCAGTATCCTAATTAATGACTAGCGGAGCGGAGCCAGTCGTTGATCGGGCCACTGAACCATGTGTGTGTCTGAGGACGTCCGTCGCGGAGCTCTGGCTCACTGACTCGGCGCTGGAGGTGGTCGCGACTGTGCCACAAGACGCCCCTGGACGCCCCGTTGGACGCCCCTGGACGCCCATGGACGCCCGATGGGACATCCCTCTGTTGGACGGGCTATCTAGCACCATCAGCAGACCGCCGCCGGCCCGAACCAGGTCGGCTGGTCCGGGCCACTGTTGGCATGCGAGCCAGCTCGCTGCCAGCAGAGGCGATAGTGATCGCAGCATACAGTCGGCCTCTGAGGCCCGCATCACGGTCACGGCCTACCTCTGAGGCCCGCATCACGGCCACGGCCAGCTTCTGAGGTCCGTATCATGGCCCTTATAGCCAGCCCCTGAGGCCTGTATCACGGCCACGGCCAGTCTCTGAGGCCAGCATCACGGTCACGGCCAGTCTCTGAGGCCCGCATCACGGTAACGGCCAGTCTCTGAGGCCTGTATCACGGCCACGGCCAGTCTCTGAGGCCAGCATCACGGCCAGTCTCAGGCTCTCACTTTGACCACAGCCAGCATCTGAGGCGTATCACGCTCAGGAGTCAACCTGAGGTCCGCACCACGGCCACAGCAAACGCCTCTGACGCCCATCACATTCGATCTTTGAGGTCAGTATTGGGGTCATAGTCATAGTAAGGCCTGCAACACATGTCCACATCCAAACTGAGGCTAAGCTCAAGGACAGAAACCAGCGTGTCACAGTCACAGCCAGCCTGAGGTCATGGTCATGGTCAGAAGGCAGGATCACCTCTATAGCCCTTCTAATGCCAGGATCATGACCACGCCCGGTCCCTGACGCCTGTATCATGGTCACGTCTCACCTCTCATGAAGCCCGGATCAGGTGCGAGCAGTGTCGGTGGTGTCAGCAGCGGCGCGCGTGGCTCGCCTGCTGATCAGTATCAATTGTCAGAGCGGCGCGCAGCACCGACCGTGTATAGGTGCAGTGGGCTGTCCGTGTACCGGCGCGGGGCTGCTGAGCCGTGCGAGATGACACCCCTGACGTCAGGGCTTCTCCGATGTCCATGGTTGGTCATTTGAGACTGGAGGGACCCTCAGACCTGACTCGGCTGAGTCCATGGCGCTGGTCATTGAGATATTCAGGGTCTAACTAGGTACTTTGCACTATGATATTACTGCGAGTCAGGTCAGATTTCACAGGCCCACTGCACTCTCACATGGTGCCACAGTTTGATCCCACGACTGTGGCATGGCAGTCTTTCGCGGCGGACTGCGTCACCAGATCCCTGCAGTCATTCGCACATTGCGAAATTATGTCGTCTTTGTTACAGAACATTTATGTGTTCATGGATAACGACAAGTCGTCCTCATGCTTGTTTGGTCGACTCAAATACGCAAATACCTGTTACCTGTATTTGTATAGCTGGTCACTGGACTCCTGTCTGATGGATAGGTGGCGTTCCAAAGTCATTACCTAACGGACACATGCCTGTCGGACGGGTTCCCGACAGTGGCCTGTCCACTGTGTGCACGGGTTACGGCGTACCAGAGCACCCGCCACGCCCGCTTTGGACATACACGAGCGACATTTTACCTTCGTGCAATATAAAAAGGTACACGGGGACCAATTCGGAGCCGGTGCTGAGCCGTAACACGCGAGGCCGCGGTGCGGGCGGTATTAGCGGGGGACCGGGGAGGGAGGGGCGAGTCACCGGGCCGGCGACGCCACCTTGACGAGCTCGTTAAACGTGGGCGTTTAACATTCCTGTTTGGCAGCAATGTGATCACTCCACTGCGAGGGGCGGGGATTATTAACTGCCGACGACCGCCGGCCAGCCGCTAAATCCACAATCCGCACACGAGTCGTACAATAGGTGTGAACTCAATCCATTATGTCGTGGTTCGCCAGCGTTGGAGCGGGCTGAAGGCTGCTAGCGTGTGGTTGACCGCCATCGTGCAGGGGCGCTGTTCGCACGATGCTGTGCCTGCAGTGTCCACTGCACAGTGCACTTGACGCAGTGGTGCACGGCGCCGAGTGCAGTGCCGACCGGCGCAGCGGCCGACCCACTGCGCGGCCATCAGCGGGCGAATGGCCACGCACCGTGACGCCGCTGGCCGCTCACTGCCGGCACGTGCAGCCGGTGACCCTGCAGTGCAGTGACCCGGCTCCGGAACAGGCTGCTCGGCTGCTGTCTTATGCATTAGGAAGCTGACACTGTTATGGCAATGTGTGATAAACATTTCGGAAACGTTGTCAGTTTCCTGATATTATCCGAATGTGTGCCATTGACTTCCCGGTATTCCGATGGCAGATGGGCCGAAACCCTCCGACCATTCCCCTGTTCTGAGCGGTCGGGGCTGCCAGCAGGCCGGACGGCCGCCCGCCGTCCACCCTCACGACGGCAGTAACCACAACGCTGATTGGATTAACAATGTCTACGTCAACGGTATTTGAGGACGGCTTGCGGTGGAGATACTTGCAAATATGATGGATTGGACAATAGCTCAGCAGTATTCACGCTAGTCATCACTAGGGGCTGAGCAGCACATCAGACATTGACAAATCCTTGATAATTGATTGGAATAATTGTCAGACGAATTGGACGCTACAATGTAAGCCGTTCGTCACAGCCCTGATAGTGGCCCAATGTGGTGGATCCGATGACTATTTTTCTTGACGTGATTGCAGAGAACAGCGAAGGAGTTGTGTGCATTCCGTGAGTCCACGTACGCTCCAAGTCCATAGCGGAAATCTGATCCGCATTTGCTCGACGGATCTGATGGCCGCGTGTTTGCGGAGTCTGCGGGCTGTGGAGCATCCTCTGCTCAGATGGCTGTGCTGTGATAGTTGTGTGCTCCGGGCCCGCCGGAGCGGAGCCGGAGCGATGGCGATGGCTGATTAGCGGGCCCCAGGTAGCTGCTGGATTGACGTCAGCTGTCCAGCACGTCAGAGCGCCGTGAACTGACAGCCTCTCCGCTCGGCTGACAGCGTGGGAGGCCGACTGCCGCAGCTCAGCCGGTCTGTCAGTCGGAGGTGGTGCAGTCACCACTGACGGCAGGCTGGTGCAGTCACCACTGACGGCAGGCTGGTGCAGTCACCACTGGCGGCAGGCTGGTGCAGTCATCACTGCCAGCACCCGCGCGCGACTCTTGGTTCACTGACGTGACGCCACGCTTCGTCGTTACTCATTCCTGTTCCGGGAAAGGACAGAATCGGGTCTGCACTTCACGCCAGTTTAATTATATAAGGTATCATAGCGCTGGCGGCTTTGTGGAAAACATTTTCTAATTGCCTTGGCTGAATTCAGCCGCGCGCCAGCCCACACAGTGGTGTTCATGCCTTTTGAGTAGCTCGCGCGGAATGGCAGTGGGTTATGGCCAGCACACCGCTCCCTAAGTGCCGCTGTCGGTCTTCATTGCATATTTATGGGCTTAATGTGCCCAAAATGCGGCCGGTGGGTGCTCAGTGTTAATGTGCGTTCCATTTGGAAATTTCCAAGTTTTGGCCAAGTATAACGCAATATTGATGTGGCTCCGAAAGAGGTTCATAATTGGAGAGGGGCTGTCGGCAGGGACGGGAGCCAGCCGATCCAGATGCGGCTGGAAGACACTGCGCTGTAAGACAGGCCGCTGGGCGTGTTTGAAAACTCAAAACAGTACAGCACGTTTAAAAGAGCCTATGTTTCCCTGACAGCCGCCTAATCGTCTGAGAAATCAGCTGCTGTCTGTCA